CCCCCTTAAATATATTTCTAGCTGCGACCTTGATTTTCATATTTTATCATATTTATACTCGCCCCCCCCCTAAATATTTTTCTGGCTACGGTCTTGGGTGTGTACAATAAGCAATGTTGCGGTGGAAGCAGAGTTATGACACAACTATAGAATATTAGAATTAATAGAATTACAATATACCTACAATAGCGTGAAGCATGTTATTAATGTTATTACTATATACTGAAAAAATGTGTAGAATGTTATTTAGGAGGGGGCTCCTATATATGTTAATATTTGTAGTTCACTTCAATCAATGCTCGAAATGTAAAATTTGTTAAACTAGAATACATAATTTTTTTTAAATACTTTTTATTTATAATTAAATAGTTATATTAATTATAGTATGTTTGTTTAAAATGTATTTGTGAATAATAATGATAAACATCTTTCTTTCGTGACTCAGATCTGCTTGACGGTACATTTCGAGCCCTCTCTTCATATTTGGATATAAACAACTTAAAGGTTAAAACTTAAAAGTATAATTTCATTAAGTTTGTGTATAGATACAAATCATACATACAATGAAATATTTTCCCCCATTCACTGTTCCGGTGGCTTTCAGTATCTTATACACAAAAAAGCGAATTTACAATATTTTTGATCAATATTTTCAATTAATAATAATACTAATAACATATAATTTAATATTAATTACAACATCCGTATAAATATAATCAAATTATTTTTATTACATTTTATTAGGTATGCAAATGTGTAAAAAATATTTAAAATGAAGAATACATATTATATAAATTAAAAATATTAATTCCATGTCGACGTGTATTATGTATTTATTTATATAATTGAAAATTGTGTAACTATAATAAATTGTAAAATGTATTTGATTTCCAATTGAATGTCTTCTGATAATCAAATAAAAGTGCTTGTAAGAAATATTTGAATACAATTCTAATGTTCAAGCAATATTTTCATTAGTTGTTATAACATTATTATAAGTATACATACAAAGTAGGTAGATACTAGATGTATTACATTATTTTTATATACCACTTTAAAACATTTGTAAGTATAAAATAAATATAAAACATTTATGATCACACTTATTTTACCACATTTTTTTTATGAGCTTTACTTGGTATGACAATTCTTGACCTTCGAGTCACACGAATGAACATTATTTGGTATAATAGAAATTTAAATGTGAATAGTAAATTTCACTGAATTGATAAACATTTTACCAAATATATTTTGATTAGTATTATAAATACCTACAGGCTTAAAATAGGTTAGATATATTTTAAAATATAGCTACCGATTTCAATAATTTTATACCATTATTATTTTAATGAGATTTATCCAGTTAACTTAATACAAGGATAACTAAATTTAATTTATTATTTATAAGTTACTCTAATCAAGGTGACCGAATTGGCTTCCAATCACAGGTAAACACATTATTCTTTAAAAAAAAATAAAATATTAAGTATTTCAGCAATCAAAGAAAAAACTATTATTATTATGTTTATAATAAATAGATAAATATGTACATTAGGTAAGTACAAAGTATTTGTTTGTATTGGTATAATATTATACTTATGACATATGTACTTTTGTTATCATGATTACTCATAGTACAAATGTTGCGGAGGTCATTAGATAATGTTAGCATACCTACCTATTCATAATTGTTGCATTGGTTTTGGCCTGTATTTATTGGCAAGAATCGACAAAAATTGTAAACGAGAGATAAAGCCACACTGTAGATCTAGAATTTGGTAATCAATAAAATGTTTTTTTGAATGGAATTTATTTTTATTCTGTTTGATTGTATTGCAACTCCGTATTAAAATGGCAGTTTCCGTTTGTACGGCCTTCAGTACTTCGATAAATTTAAAAATGTTTGGATGTGAGTCATATAATTTTGCACTGAACTGGTAATGAAAGTATTCACATGCATCAGTTGTATGATCGTAACTAGAAGTTTGACCTGCCCAGAGTTCGGGAGGGAAACACGAATTATTTTCGATATAATTTTCTACCAGACTGTCCAAAAAGCAGACGACTCTAATATCAGATGGTTTTATTTCGGCGAGTTGGTTGCAAAACAATCACCCACCGATTGTGCATCTAGAAATGGTAGACCGAATAATATTGTTAGATAATTACCAATTGACGTGTACTGGGAGTATTCGGTAGAGAGCCCTTGCTGATGGATCATTCTGTACCAGGCTTGTCCTAGACGAACTCTGCAAATCTTAACTGTAGTTCGCGGACAGATTTGATGCACTGCGTTGTGTAAATTTTTCTCAAAGTCTACGTACACGATTTTTATGTTGAATTCGCTGTTGAGAATCACGCAGTTATTTTGAATTGATTTGAATACTTCTTCGTATGAACTTTGGTACTTGTTGGGTAGCAGTGAAAACAACACCGGAATGCGATAATTGGTTTTTAAAACATAGACAGTAAATAACATATAAAAAATATCTTTACCATACTGCAATACTACCATCCACGTATAATGTATCAGACTCACTGAGAAATTTCAAATTACTTTCCGTACAAAATACTATTAATTCTTTTTCTTGATCGTGTAATAACAAAAATTGATCATTATCATTTGTTTTTATATTCATTGACCTTAATGCTGTATGCACTTCTTGTCTGTTGTGTGGCAATTTTGGAATTACAGAATAACAGGAATCAGAGATATTGGTATTAGTATAAACAACATCAGTATACTGTTTAATGGTGTTGGTACTGTCAATCGAATTTTGTAAATAGTAAAGCAATAGAGAACCTTGATATCTATTCTCAACAGTTTTATGTCTTAATGAGTTACTCACATTCGTACTATTCATTATTTGTTCTGGAGCTGTGATATGATTATGTATTAAGTTTGAACTTAAAATATAAGGACTGTTATTGAAATGTTTCACATAGGCTTGACATTCTCTGTTTGCAGTGCCCACATAACTTTCAATACTATGAGGTAACATTTTATCAAAATCAAATTTATATTTATTAATTACAACAATTCGCTTGTTTTTTTCACTCATCATCATTTTACGGAAATAACTAAAACTAACTATGACAAAAAAATAAGTAAATAATCGTTGTTGCGAACATGCGGGCACGGTAGGTACTGATTGACTAAAGAGTATTTATATTTCAGAATTAAAGGAATAAGAATCGGAGTAATTATCAATGCAGCTAATTACTTCGGATTGACCCCCAATAAAACATTTACAAAATTATGAATATTTGGATGTGACATATAAAAATTGTTTTTGAAATGTGAATGAAAGGACTCGACGGCATTTGTGGTTCGAGTTACAGATTCAGAACATAACGCCCGTATATGCAGAGGTAAAATAGCATCGTCACTGACGTCACTAATATAAGTGTCAAGATAAGACACACGGTGGCTTCGATTAAAGTTTTGTATGCACGTAATATTTATATAGGTATGACATATTAGTTTAACAGTGGCCCAATTACCGGATACCATAGTTAAAAATAATTGAAAATATTGGCCCAATCACCGGATCTACCTGTTAAAAATGTAAAAGTGTAGTAGCCCAATTACCGTATACCTTTTTGAAAAAAGGTTAATTGTGGCCCAATTCCCAAATTATAACTATAGAATTATATGTGTATACAATCATTGGAATCATTTATAAATATTATTTTTTTTTTTGAAAGGATTTTTTAAAATTAGACCTCTAAGGGGGTAAAAGGGGTTTTTTATATAGCTATATAATACACTGGCAGCGCCGTAACGGAACAGCTAGTAAATACATATAGAAGAGTGTACGTTTAATGCTTAAATACTTTGTTTAATTGTGTACATAAAAAAAAATATTTTTAGATAAGTTACGTAAAATAGAAAAAAAATTTTTCTAGTACCTAAGTAGGAAGTAGCTATACATTTTTTTTGCCTTACGAAAAAAAATGTCTTGTGTCCATGAAAAAAATTTTCCCCGCAAAACATCTTACCAGCGAGGTCATTTCCTTAATATTTTGTACCCATGTCACGAAACACTAATGGACCATTTTCTAATAGAAAATGCGTCTACGTCTATCGACAGGATGAGCCTTAACCAATAAAACTGATAAACATAAAAAAAAAAATGTCCCTACGAGTACAAAACTCCCAGCATCCCGTCTGCCCAGTCTGGCCTTGACTTCGCTATACTTTATAATAATACCTAACATTATTACATCACATTTAAAAAAATAAATCTAAACCAACTATTTAAAGATTACTTAAAAAACATATTAAAATAATTATGCATACTTGGAAAATATTTGGTTATGAAATCGCGAATTGTCAATTAAAACTGTAATCAAATTAATTATATTCATTTTTAACTACAATATAAAAAGAGTAAGCTATAAAATGTTTTAAAATAAAGCTTAAATATGTATGTACTGCCATCTTAAATTATTTTAATAATTTTTATATAATATATAATATTTGTTAACTTATCATTTACTATAACAAAAGTTTTATTTTCAGTTGTAAATATTTGGTTTCGTTGTAACAGATTGTGTATCTCTTCAGAATTTGTTGGTATTTTGGTAAAAGAATTCTTTGAGCATTGTACATATTTTTAAGTACTAGGTTAATATCTGATGCAGTAGAAATAATGCATACTCAATGAATACACTTAGCTTAGTACAAATAAGTTTTGATGGTATTGATATGTTTTCTAGCTTTCGTTTAAGTCCGTTGCTTAATTTTTGTTGTTTAGGTGTGCAAGTTCATTTGAATAGTGATTATGTGATGTTGGTTCAGATATTGTGACGACCAGAATTGGGTGAACAGTTCAATATGTGTATATATCGTTAAATTATTATTTATGTGCTTGTAGTGTTTCTTGTCCTGTGGGTTCAAGTCCACCGATCGAACTCCACACCTGCCGGTTCGACTAGAGCACACACGCTTCCCTCTGTCCTCTCCAGGGTCCGGCACACTCGACCGATACCATGTATAAGGATATCGCTGATTAATTTAAATAATGTCCATAATGCTCTCTCTATCTATCTTACTCCCACTGTCTCCGTCACCCGTCGTCTTTACGTGCGTTTGCGACTGACTAAGTCGGCGGTCAAGAGACTTCTATTTAATAAGCCGTGAATACTTCAGAATGGAGGACCGAGAAGTAGAGCCTCGAACACATGGCATTTCGGCTCTTAAGTCGCGACTGGGAATTAGGACATTAGGTAGAAATGTCATAATATCATGTTTAGTAAATTATCGATCTTATATAAAAACTTTTGTAATTTTTATTTGTGCACTTAAAAAGTTAAAACCGTTGTACTTTATTTTCCATCGTTGAACCACGATTTTTTTACAACGATTTATTTATTATATTTTAGTTTTAAAAAATAATAATCACAGAGACTTCAAACTTTCGTTATTACATTTTTATTTTTAAAAATTACACAATCAAATGTTGATTTATTTTAAGCTATACTCTTAATAGGTATATAATTTATATATATAAGAATCTAACTTGATTTTGGAGACGAAGGAAACCGGTTTTGAACCCTCATTATAATAATAATAATAATTAACTAATTACCAATTATTTTCATATATTCACCTATAACGATGTCTGTTTCTTTTTTTTTATTTCTTTTTTTTATTTTATAAACGTTGTATTATTTGTATAGCCCAAAAAATAGTCTTATGTTATTAAATTAAATTATAAAAAAATAATTTCTTGAGGAAGAATAAATTATAATATATAATAGGTATATCACGAACCTATTCAATTCGTAATAGGGTTCCTAGTACCTATCACTATAGAAAAACTTAATTGATTTCTTTCAACAAAGTTATATTTCAAATTATATTTAATACATTGATCTAGTTAGTAGCCTACTAGTTTCTTTGAAAAAATGTTCAGATAAATACTTGTTTGAAATAATAATTTTTCCATTAACCACTTTTTCCACAAAAGTTTGGAACATAATAATATGTTTTCCGGAACAACAAAATAGAAATTGTCCCTTTACAATCACATAATACAATTTGTACATCATGTATGTTATTATTTATTTATTTATTTCAAGTATTTATGTAGTATTCTAGTTTACATTAATATTTAATATCTTGAATTAGAAGTTGGTACCACTGTTTATAGACCGTAAAAGAGAGTATACGCACAGAATAACACTGTCTGTCATATCATATTTTTTTTGTTTATTAAACAATTGTGATGATAAGAAAACAAATTTGACAGAACTACAGCTATAGAGTACAGACTAATAAGACTCATTGTTTCGTCTCTAGTAAGTATTAATTAGTACCAACAAAATAGTTAACTACTTGTTGTTTCTTTAATAATTATAATTTTTTGCATTTGTATATGTGCTAACCGTAGCAACAGCTAGTGACCATAACAAAATGGATTTTGAAAGCAAGTTTCTGGTGGAATATGCAATTTTGAAATTGGATGAGCTTACGTAAATATACATCGGTGTATTGTTTGCAACCATAATAAATCATTGTGAGTCTAACTTAACCTTTTTGTTTTGTGTAGCTCGCTGAACAATAACCGTAAATCAGTCGATAAAAAAATCACTGAGAAGGTGGTCACCGAGGATGAGTTGGTGTCGCAGTTTAAAGAAGAGTTGTGTTTGCTTCATACTTGTAAACTTAAAATCCATGTAATTTTTATTTTTACAACCATAATTATGTTTTGAATATTATGTACGATGTTAACATTTTTATTATTTCAATAGGACTTGATGGAATCTCTTGATGTTATCGAAACTCATATACTCGACCTTTTGTGCAATCGCATTATAAATTTGTGTCGCCATATGCATGAACTGTTTTCCATTCCAAAAGAGGTGTTATCTGTTTGTATCAATGCTTGTCGAGATAATGTAAGTGAACATTTTCAAGTGCTTTTAATTTTATATAAATTTCAATTAATTTTTTTATTCTAATCATGAGTTTCTATAATTGGTTTATTAAACTCTAATAGCTAATATAACAAATTTGAATCAAAGTATCTAGTTATTTACTTAAAATAATTAACTATTGCATACAAAAATAATAAATATTTTGTTAAATTATCTTATGTATATTTTAATACACACAGCTGAATACTATACCTAACCTATATTGTTACTTTAAGTGATAATTTGAGTAAAATGCTTGTAGTGTCTTGATTAAAGAATTATTAAAAATTATAACCTACTACTATAAAATAGAAAAATCATGTACCAGTGTATGACATTTATCACAATGCTAAAATTTACCTAGACAATAAAAATAAATAGAATTACTTTTTATTACCTAATATAGATTTTTGACCTAATTTGAAGTTGCTTTTAATACTGTTTCAGTATTAATTGATATTATGAAATATTATAATGGTAGATAATTATAATAGAACGTTTTTAAATATTTTAAATTTCAAATATTCTACTTGTGGTAATTTATATAGGTGTTTTAAAAATAATTTTGGTTTTGATATATTTTTAAGACATTAATTTATTTATTAAATACTGTATTACTGTGATACAAAAGATTGTTTCTTTAAATTCTGTTAAAATATTTCAATAAGTACATTATTTTCTAATGATAATAAAAGAATCCATTATTTATTTAACATTGAACAAGTTTCACAAAGTGTTTTTATTATTATTAAATAGGTATATGTAGTAATAATAATTATAATAACCAATAAGTTATATCAGTTAATTATATTTTTAGGTAATTTATATAAAGGCAGAGCTACTAAATTTTTTGGTGAAAGCTGTTATGCGTATTGGAGATAATGAACATACTATTTGGATACAATTATTAGAGCTTTATTTGGAAATAGGCGACGGACCTGAGGTGGTTAATGTTTTTCAAGAAGGTGTTCGTTCATTGAAGGCGAATTCACTACCTTTATTTAAGACGTTGATTAAACATTGGAGAAATAAACGTCCAGATATGGTATGTTATATTCATAATATAATTTAAGTTATAACTGATAGTGGTTCAACTCCTGGTGTTTAATTGTTTAATTGTTTTATAATTTATTGTTTAAACAATGTCTACTGAACGTTTGAATTGTATATATTTATTTAAAATTTTCTTTTTGGGTTTTATTATGTTGTAAAACAATTTTCTACTTATTACAGTAGAACCTCATTAATCCAGACGAACAGGGGTTCTAGGTTGTTCAAGTTAATGAAAGTCCAGATTAAACAACATAACAAAGAATCGTAAATTATAAATTTAAAATAAATTGTATTGGATATTTTACTTTACTTACAATACTTCAGTCTATCAAATACATATATCTAACAATATTAAACCTAAAAAATAATACATAGTTGAATAATTGAACTCGTTTTCATGTTTATTTTGATCTATATCATGAACTAGCGTGATAACGGCTGTCCGGGTTAATGGGGTTTTACTGAATTATTATTTTATTAATTATTGTTATCTAATGAACAATACACTTATGCCAGTTTGCATGAAAAATTTATAAATTTAATACTTCAATACTATTTAATGGACCAATCATAGGAAACTATACATGGTTAAGAGACTATCATCATATTATTGATTCCTTAAATTTTAAATGTTTAGCTATTGTTCATGCAACTCAGCTCTAGTCAGATAATAATCATTAAATGAATACTTTATTTGAAGTGAAATATATAAATAAATTAAAAAAACTATAAAATATAAATGCAATATTATATTGTGTAATTATTATATCAGTTAATATTTTTATAGATTTTAAGTACACTTACAAAATACTCAAGTTTACCATACGAAAATGTTTCTTCGAAAATAAGACCTAAATGTTTAAAATGGTGTTTGAAGATTGATGGCATAGATAGTACTCGAAAATTATTCAATGAGCTAAAAGACTTACAGCCACCATGTTGTAAATTGTATTTAAAAATGATAAACATTGAAAGTGAGAGGCCGGATTTTGAATTAGATACTGTAAGAAAAATGTTTGATGATGCATGCACTTTGTTTGGCAGAAATAACATTGGTAAGGATTAAAAATCTTTTTTTCAATTAAAATTTATCAAATTGTGTACTTTGGGGTTCCTCAAAGAAATAAAAATACAAAATTACAAATCATACAAGTAGTCTAATCAAAAATCAACATTCATAACTAGAGTTAGGATGTTTATTACCGTAATAACTCTTGCCCTTATAACTCAAATATGATTATCTAATGGATTAAAAAAAATTTATTTTTCATTTATTCATTCGATATAAACTATACATTTTTATTCGGTTATTAATAAAAACCTACACGTTTCATGTTTGTTAGTTATGCCACAAGGTAGGTAATAGCGACTTTATCAGCCTTGCAGCCATGCTCCTCCCAGACCGTAAGTTATATAGAAAAAACTACTCTATTCAGAAAAAAATGATAAAATAAGCATTATAATATCATTATAATTATCTCGATTTCATACTTTTGACAATCAAACACAGCCCTAAGTATTTGACATGGGAATAATTTAATGAATGTAGGAACATTTATGATATGTTTGTGTTGCAAATGTTTTTGGTAGCTAACCTACCTGTAGTTACTAATCTAGTTAACATTTTGGGAAAAACTATCTATAAACATAAAAAATGTTGTTAAATTAATAGTGCGTTTATAGTCAAATGTAAAACAATGCAAAATAAAATGTAATATGGCTACTTCCATGTCATACTCAACATTTTTAATAAATGAAAAAAATATGTTAACACATTTCTAACTAAAATTATAGCCCAAACTACTCTACTCTCAATTCAGAAACCATCTTCAAAATCATAGCAACCCTCGGGTTAAAAAGAAACTATAGAAATCTAACTACTATGTCAATGGCCCTGTAAATGAACCTTATATTTTTTAATTAATTCAACACATATTAATATATTATAGCCTCTTATTAACCTTATTCCAAACTACCGTCACTGGATGGTTTTTCTTCAGTGCCAACAAGCCCTGTAATGAATATAATCCTCTATGCTTATTATGTTACACATGTATATGTTGCATAATTTTCTACATTAAAAAAATCCTTGAAGCTGATATACATCATAATATTATATTTTTAGGAGTTTGGATTGATTATTGTCGTTTTGAATTTACTAAAGGCTCCATGGTTCATAAAAGAAAAATTTGTAATAAAGCAGTATTTACATTGGAATATGATTTAAAGGATACTTTTGTGGATGAGTATTATGCTATGCAACGTGAAATTAGGTTAGTATTATAAATATTACATGTTATTTTACAACCATTGAACTTTTATTCTTTTTTAATTTTAATTTTTAGGATGCAACGTTTATTAAGGCATGATTTTATAATCATTGATGGAGATGCAGATACATAATATTATGTATATATATATATAAAAAAAAATATTTTTTCTAAAATAATTTTTTTGTCATTTTTCATTCCTCCATACCGTATTTATTATTGCTAAATTAATACTTACTGTAAATGGCTTATTTAATAATTTGTATACATTTGAGTAGAATTTAGTTATTTTTCTGAAGAAAGTTAATGATATCGAATTTCTATTGACATATGTATTATAATTTAATAATTGTAACTCATTTTAACATTTTATTTGATTTATTTTTATTTAATACATAATTGTCATTTTTACAATTTTATAATTAACAATATATTTTTAATGAACCCTAATGTTAAATTTATGTTCCTAATAGTCAGTGTCTACATAACCCTCGGCAATAGTATCTATATCTAAATTGCATTTGTTGTCTTTTTTGTTGAATGTGTCTAAACAGGCATAACATATGCCAACATCTTTCCAACACTGTTCGCAGTATATGTAAACGCACCCAATGGTGTTGTAATCATACTCTTTGCGGTAATCGTTTCTGGCTGGTCACAAATCAGACATTTTGGACGACCAAACTCAAACCACACTAGCCATCCGAACAATGCCTGGAACCTCAGTCTGAACATAAAAAAAATTGTCAACATCTTTCTGAATAATAATAAGTAATGGAAATGAAAGATAATGTGCCTAATGAATGATGTCCAACATTGCTTCAAAGACAACGCAATACGATGGTTCTTAAATAAAAAACTTATAATGAGCTGGAAATCATTTATGCATTGTAAATCACATTTCTCCCTTAAGTTGCTCCCCCTCCCTCCTTCCATCGAATTGCTTCAGAAGTGGATAACTATTATTGTCTAGTCAACATATTTTCTTACAATTGTACACAGGAAGTAGATACCAACAGATTATTTGATTTTGCGTTCCAATTTCTACCTTTTGCTTCATGTACCTGAAGAATGACCTTCGCTTCATTAATGTCTCGCTGTGCAGGTACAACACTTATCGTTTTTCTCTCGTCCTGAAGAATACCGGGTAGATCAGTCGTTTTAGCAGGCCACAGTACCCGGAAAATAAATACGGTCATAGCGAACACCAGCATTAACGCGCCTCTGTTAGTAATACGCATCCAACTTATGCAGATTTGGGAGACACACCGTATACATATGTTGGTACACTCAAATAATTTAACATTCACTATAATATTCTAGATATTGGAGGTATTATAAATCATAATAATATAACTGTTGATGACAACTGACAAGTATCTCCGAGGCCAGGTTTTAAGGAGGCTTTTTTTATGTGGTTTGCAGCCGTTGCTTCATGTTTGGTGCGTTGTAAAAAATACCTAATAATAAAGCAATCTATTATTACGAGGACGCCACACCAGCTTGTGTTGTTTCTGTCTCACAAACATACATGAGATAGAATTACTCAGGCTATAGTCCAATCTAAGAAACCAAATTATCACACTGTAAACAAGAGAACACTTAGTGTGCAGTATCGTTTTTATTTTTTTTATATCACAAGTACAAGACAACACATGCGGGTGTGGCGTTCTTTTATGTACTGAAGATACATAAGACATAACAAAGTGGTGTATTGTAGGTTGGCAGGTTGCCTATTTAGGGTGCCGCTTCGCGATCATCGTTCTATAATTGAATATTAAATATTAATTATTATACCTATTATTTTCTTAGCATATGGAAAAATATCAAATGTTGCAACGTTTTAAATTTCTAATATAAATTACTATATTTAATTGTCATATCGTGGTAATTATTGATGCTATGTGTGTACTATATTAAATTATAAAATTTACTTACTATCAACAGGTAAGCCAGACCTTTTTCCATAAGGGGGCCAACATTTTTTGGCCCCCTCCCTACTTTTTGTACCCTAACCCCTCTCCTTATAACACAAAATCTATAAAAAAAAATATTACTTCTAACAATGTATTGTCTGGATTGGTTAATAAGTTTAAGATGACTCCATAGTGCTACAATCGCTTGTTTTGCCGCCGAATGGTAAACTCCTACAAATGTAGTGTTATATCCTACAGAAGATAGTGTTAACTCCTACAAAGGATAGTGTTAACTCCTACAAAAAATTAATATCGTATTGCTGTAAAAAATATCAGACTAAACTCAAACAATACACAGTTATACAGTTACGAGCGGAAATTTCCGATACAGACGAGATTATCATGTTTTATTGTTATTCGACAATATTCGATTAAAACATTTTGTACTGCAAGTGCCGATATATACGTATAATACCTATAGTATATAATATGGATATAATCTAACCTTCGAGAATCATCATACAGCGTATAAACAAGCTCTATTCAAGCATTTGTTTATTAAATAATATATATTTATTATTTTCAAGCTATGATAATTTTGAGCTTTTTGAGTTTTTCAACTTAAAAATTGTTTTATTTAAAAGATGTTTAAAAATAAAATTGAGATTCCCAGTTCAAGGCCACTGACTTTTCTTAGGGGGTTAAGTGGTAAACCAAATAATACGGTAGATGCAGTAAACGTGAGCTGCCCTATTCCCATTTCCCATAACATAGTAACAGACTTGTGTATACTATGTATGTAATATATCTGTATAAAAAATTAATTATTATAATATATTATTATATAATAGGTACACCATTACTATTCACTAAGTACATATCAATGTTTGTTAACGCTTTTATCAGATAAAATGTACTTAAATGATAATATTCAATAGGTAAGTAGGTAGGTACTAAGTATACGTCCCGCGGATTGGTCTCCGCAAGATGCGATATCACGACTCCTTTGGATTTAACGGTTAAAAGATTTTAAAGTTAACGATGGTCGATGATGAAGAATGAAAGTAGACACTTATATAATATAGTACTAAACCTGAAATATTTTGTAGATATATACCACTCTCATCATGCTTATTTGTTTTTTCTGACAACGTACATATTATACTATATATTATTGTTATAATCTCTCATTCTCTTGGACCTCGGTATTATTTCAATTACCTACATACCCATTAGGGTTTTCGGCATTAAACTCGTGTGCGAATAATACTTTTACATTACAATTTACAGGTAGACTTAGGTAATAATTTATTAAGAATAATTGTCTATTATTATGTTGTTTATGTTTAAAAAAGGGAACCTAAGTATATTACATATCATTATGTATCCACCTATATGATACACAATATATTACATTATATAAAATAATAAATAGTTATTATTTGCTGTGAAAATCAATAAGTCATCGCAATGAGAAAAATACTGATTGTATTAGCTGTGTGCAGGGGCGGTTCCAGGGGGGCTAGGGCCCCTCCCCCCAAGGCCCAAAATCCGTATTTCTAAAAAATTGTATATTGCTAACAAAAAATTACTAATCGACTATTATAGGCCCGCGTAAAAGTGTGTAATTATTGGAGGTACGTCGGTGTATGAGTTGTAACATGCATCCGCTATCTGTGTGGACTACGAGAATACTAAATAACTTGGGGAAATATTGAGAATTTTGTCTTGATAAGAATTGTATTGTTATTATTCTAAAAATAAATAATAAAAGTTGTAAAAATTGTTTTATATTTGTTGTTATAAGTTTTGTGAAAATTGGCTGTGTGTCTACTTAGCCGTGTAATTACATAACAATTATTAACTAACTCTTATTAAAATTTTAATAATAGGTAACCATAATATCATATGATTAAATTATTTTTTTTTTTCTACATGATTGTTTTATTATAAAATTCGGACCGTATTTATTTTTTCTTTAATAAATATTATTTATTAATATGTTTTGATCGACTATATTATTTTCTATGGTTAAAGTAGCAATAGGGCACATGGCAATATGGTAATCGTTATATTCTTTAAATACTTATATAAAAATACTTCTAAAAATAAAAAAAAGTACTGAATAAGTTGGAAATTGAAGAACGCATGTCTCTTTTCTGTTCACAACATATAATTGTTATATTATTTTTTTATTTTTTTTTATTTATAACTTTTAAAGTAATGATATAACACATACTCGTAGCTATGCCTTTTTTTAATATAGGTACCTTACTTTTGTATCATTATACCATAATACTACCAGAATTGTAAAACTGAGAACATCGAAGTATTTTTTGTCATTCCACCAAAGAACCATAAAATAAAAAAAAATGTTATTACTATATTATGTTAAAATAAAAATTAAAAACTAGAATGTTTGTCTTTTCAAAAAAATTATCGGATCACCCTCTCTGCATCCAACACTGATCTTGCGTACTCAAGGCCGTATCTGTGGAAGGGAGGGTTTTGGGGTTCAAACCACCCCCCCAAATTTGTTCGTGTTATATTAGGTAGTAAAATAACTATATATTAATACATTAAAAACTAAAATAAAAAACATTGTATCTAATACTAAGTGGACTAAACTGACATCAATGTGTGATACTCGGTGGGTTGAAAACCATAACAGAATTCAAAGATTATAAAATTAATTTCCAGCTACGGCCTAGTGCGTACTACATATAGTGTGACTTCTCTGATGCTCACCGATTTTTTCTGCCGTATATTTGCCGTGTAAATGAAATTGGCATATCAATAAAATTGAAGGACCCACTCACCCATTATAATTACGAAATTCCTCCAAATATCTTTTCTTTTTATGTGAATCGTTATTCGTTATATTCCAAATATGAAAAATTATCAAGATAGAATTTAGCTGAAATAAGATATTAAATTTATTAAAAATGTTTCAATGATCATTTTGCATTTTAGTCATTGTCTATTGGTTACTTACTGTTCAAAATATTATGGGTATCTGTAGCAAATGTGGGGCATACTACTTGAGTCCGAAATAATTATCAATAGGTAAGTTGCGTCCGGCAAAAAAGGTTTAAAAAAGGTCATATTTACGTCCCGGTATGCCTTTTTATACTACCTTATTGCGTCCTAACATAAATAAAACATAAACACAGCATAAATTAAGTGTTAAAAGCTATTAGTAACAGAGTAGATTAATTGCATGTGATTCCTCTACATTTGATTATAATACATAAATATACACTACATTGTTACATCACGTTTAAAAAAATAAAATTGTATAAACTATTTAAATAGATTAAGTAAAAAACATGTGTAAATAATTATGCAAAGCTAAGAAAATATTTAGTTATAAAATCGTGAATTGTCAATCAAAACTA